CACACACACACACACACCCACACACCACACACACACGCACGCACACATACACACACACACACACACACACGTATATATATATATATATAATATATATATATATATATATATATATATATATACATATATATATATATATGCACATATACATATAACATAAGTCGTTCAAAATAACAGCGGTTTTAAGGTTTGTGATCCCTGTGATGTACTTTCATTCTTGCGTATTAAATGCTTGCTTTCTTGGTAGTGGCCGTTAAAAACAAGCACAAAACTCACGCGACAGAAAGCATTCCAAGTGCACCACATTTCTTTCTTGTTTCTTTTATTTCGTCGACGTTTCGTTATTCTTTTGGCATTCTCAAGACATGAGACATTAACTTAAAACCACAGCCATCATGCACAGCAATGGCAGGTCACCCCCAACATGGCTTGTACTTAATTGATAAAATTACCGAATAATCTAATCTACACACCGTAGCTTGAAGGCAAATCACAACACGCCAGCATTCTTTTTCATTTTCCATTTTCACCAACACGCCATACGCGCTAGGTGCCACCAGGTAATTTCTAAAGCAAAAACTCATGAAAGCCAATTTCAAACCGCTAAATTCCCTCCCACTACAGTTTTTTGTTCCTCAGTTACACTTCCCTAGTGTATTAGGTTTAATCCGTGGGATCAACCTTGTAAAGGGCTGGCGTTCTCGTGCATTGAACTGTCTGTTAATAGACGCGTCCATAACACATACGTATGCGGCCTCCGGCGCAGATAGCCGTTTCATATCGTGGCATCCGTCTGCGAAAGTGTTATTATTTGTCATTTGTTACATGATAAGTCGCGTGCCTTGACACAAGGTCTATTCGCAGTTTGCCGAATGCCTTTTTGTCGACCGTGATATAACGACTTCCCTATTGGTGGCATGTAAAAGATCGACGTGCCAAAAAGTGGAATGCCAAAATGGCGAACTACAAAACAGCGACAGAGGATAATGACGACATGCCGAAATGGCAAACGCCTAAATGGTGAACTACAACTGACGACATGTAAGAAGGTCTATATGTGAAATCGGCGAACATTTGAATGCCATTGAACTGCTTGAAGAGAGTGTTCAGCATTTGCATGGAGTTGTGTACTGAAAGAGCCATTTTGAAAATCATTCGATGCAGCGTGTACTCCTGCTGCCCCGCTACCCCCGGTCCGCCCCTGCCTGCAGCCGCTGTGGGCGGCCCTGCGCTTGTTCATGCTGCCCCGCTGCCCCGGCCTGCCCCTGCCCGCAGTTGCTGTGGGCGGCCCTGCGCTTGTCCTGCTGACCCGCCGCCCCGGCCTGCCCCTGCCCGCAGTTGCTGTGGGCGGCCCTGGCGCTGCAGCTGGGATTGAGCACTGGCTGCTTCATCAACAACTGTCCACAAGGCGGCAAGCGTTCGTCGCCGGAGCTGGTGCCGCAGGGACTGCAGCTGCCAGTCCGCGCAGCGCCCTTCCTTCCGCCAGCCTCGCCGCCCGAGCTGCCGTCAGACCCGCCCAGCTCTCTCAAACTGGACCAGGTGACCATGACGGGATGTTGCCGCTGACTTCAGCCGCAGCCACAGAGAGACTGATGCAAACGACGAGCGCACGAGACATTTTAAATCAGACATTTTCCAACACGTTGCCAGTGGGAAGGGAACATATCAGCGACACCGACAGCGACAATTCCCCTAACCTTCCCTCAAATTCTGATGTCTTGGTGTCAAAATCTGATGTCTTATTGACCTCATGCTACTTCATCCTAGCTTTCAGCTGAAATACGGCGAAGGAATGTTAGCCGACTTGCTACCATGTGAAGTCGCACTATAACGGGCTGCAATAGGTGCCACAACAGCTATAACTGGGCTGCCGTTTAGTCAGTTGGGGACGTTTCCCGCAGGCAGCATGTTTCATAGTCTTTGTCAGGATTTGCATTGCCAGATGTGAAATGTACATCGTTCTGTTTGTCGGCAAAATGCAATTACCATTCGTTATTAAGAGCAAACATAAACTAGATTTTTGCGAAAAAATTTGTAATTACAGGCCGACAAGGTAAAAAATGTGGCCAGCGCGAGGGTGTAAAAATAGGCGCTGATGAATCCGCGGTATATTTGCTGCAAGGAAATGTCCCTGGCAACACTGGCGGCTTATGCGAACTCCTGTACCTTTTATGATAAGGTTATCATGGGCAACGAATTCAATTCAGTCGAGTTCATATCGGGTCACTGTTAGTCTGAAAAGGTCCGTATCTCCTTGCAGAAGTTGTGAGAACCGAGCTGCTCTCCTCGGAGAACGCATTCCATGATATAGGTTATAAACTGGATAATTTATAAGCGACCTGAAGCTAAATTCTACATATCGTATCCTTACTACATGGTATGCCATGTCAGCGATATGAAATAGCCCCAGTCCGGTATATTTGAGCACAAGCTCTGCGATAACCGGAATAACAAGTTAAAACGACGGACAATATTCAAAATTGGATAGGTTTCACTCATTTGACCTATAACTTGTTGAGCTAGGAACATACGTCTTTTAAGGACCGCATATTTATTTACAGCATCCATCTAGCCCAAGTTACGTTTTTCCACCTCATACGGTTCTTCAGGTGGTATGCGGCGGGTTGTGGGGGGGGGTGGGGATATTTATCCCATCTCCTCTGCACCCTTTTCTCTTAGACCTTCCACTGGGCGTGTTAAGCCTTTTCATGGAAATACGTCCACTCTCTCTTTCTACGCACTTATTCCGCTCCATTCCTCTTTCTCTCTTCCTTCCTTCCCCTCCCCCTCTCTTTCGCTCCTTCGCTCTCTTTTCTTTGCTCTCCCCTCTTCATCCTCTCTATCTCTTTCTCTCTCTCTTCTCCTCTCTCTCTCTCTCTCTCTCTCTCTCTCTCTCTCTCTCTCTCTCTCTCTCTCTCTCTCTCTCTCTCTCTCTCTCTCTCTCTCTCCTCTTCTCTTC